TTTTTAAAAAAAAGTTAAATATCAAAGATATTGCATCAAATAAATGCAAAGAATTTAAAATATGTACAGATATAGTTTAAATGTATTTTTGCTGAAAATGGAATTTGCACGAAACTCAAAAATCTTATAGCTAGAAAAAAAAATTCCCTGATGAAAGTTGAAAGGAATAATAATAATAATAATAATGACATTTGTAGGAAATGCCATATCTTGCATAAGACTATACAACACATCTTATTTGGATTGTCACGATCCTAAACATTAAAAATATGATTCTTTGTTCTAAGTAAAGCTAATGTATTACATAATTATTTCAAATTACCAATTGGTGGAGATATATGAAACTTATCAAATTGTATTGGAACAATTAGTTTCTCTGTTATATCAAATTATATATAATTTTCCATTTGATATTTTTCATTTTAAGAAGTTTCCCCATGTCAGAAGTTTAATCTCAAGTCTAAATTTTTTCTGTATAAATGTTTTTAAGAAAGTTCCCACTTAATTAGACAGAAATCCTTGATTATAACTGGAAAATGGACTTAAAAATTTTTTCAACTATATCCTATCAAAAGTTTTTACACATTTCATTACATATGTATAAATCAAAATAATTACATTAGAAAATATACAAAATTTAGTGTGTCATTTTATGTACAATTTTGGACCACTTAGAATATGGATTTTACAATTTGCTTACACAGCTATCTGCAACAAACAGCAAGTTCTGAAAAGTACTATCAATACTTGGGTTTTAGATTAGACTGAAAGCATTTGTTTTTCTGAACTTTTATCAGCTATGAAAATTTCAAGGTTAGAATGTTATTATTTGTATATTATTGCCTAGTTTTGTTGAGGATCAAATTTTTTTATAATACATAGGTTATACTGTAAGACTTCAATGAATTTTAGTACAGTATATTTGCAGCTCTGTGATTTTGTTCCTGAAAATCACAAAATATATTTTTGTTTTTGTTTACAAAACAGAATAGATGAAGCAGGCTACATTATACATATATCTAAATAAATAGATACTATATAAGTCTAATTCACAAAAATGTAGTGGAACATCATTAAATTTCAATTATTAAATGAAAAGTTATATTATTTTCATTTCTGCTTAAAAAGTATTTTTAAACAAATTTAAAATAAAATTTGAAGCAGAGTTCTATTGTAAACTTTCTGATTATTTCTGATTGTTTATATTATTGTTATTACTATTATTTATATATTATCATCCTATTATTGTTTTGAATTTTTATTTTAATATTCTATTGTATTATAATCTTCTTCTTCTTCAGCTTTTCCCACACTATGTAGGGTCGCTGTTTCTGATGAGTCGTCTCCACTGCTCCCTGTCCTGGGCTGCCTCCACATTCAGATGCTTTTCTCTCAAGTCCTCCTCCACAAGATCCATCCACCTTTTCCGCGGCCGTCCCCGCCGCCTCCTCCCCCTCACACTCATCTGCATAACCCTTCTTCCCACATACCCTTCTTCCCTTCGTACCACATGACCAAACCACTTCAACCTCGCTTCCTGTATCTTTGCTTCTATGTTCACAACTTTCACTGTCCCCCTCACACATTCATTTCGAATGTGATCCCGTCTCGTAACCCCACACATCCAACGGAGCATCCTCATCTCCGCCACCTCCATCCTTTTGACATGGGTTTTCCTTAAGCTCACAGTTTCAACAGCGTACAGCATAGCTGGTCTCACCACCATCCGATAAACTTTCCCTTTCAACCTAAGTGGCACCCTCTTATCACACAACACTCCTGACATATCCCTCCAATTCCGCCAACCAGCCTGAATCCTGCCTGTCACTTCCTTATCCACACTTCCATCCTCAGCCATAGTTGACCCCAGGTACTTAAAGGTATTGACTCTTCGGAATACGTCACCCCTCAACTCCAGATCACTCTCCCGGGCACCATCCTCCTCCCCACTACACATATACTCTGTTTTACTCCTGCTCACCCTCATGCCCCTCCCTTCCAACACACCCAACCACCTTTCCAATTTAACCCTCAACTCCTCTTTTGTTTCGGCGCACAGAATGATATCATCTGCATACAACATTGTCCAAGGTGCCTCTTCTCTGACCTCGTCTGTGATCACCTCCATCAGTATGTTAAACAAAAAGGGGCTCAGTGCTGACCCTTGATGTAAACCAACTCTCACCCTGAAGCACTGGGACACTCCTACACAGCTTCTAACCTTTGTGGCCACATCCCTATACAGTTCATGGATCAATCTAACATACTTTTCAGGAACCAACTTTTCCCTTAGACACCTCCAGAGTTCTTGTCTAGGCACCGTGTCATAAGCTTTCTCCAGATCAATGAATGCCATATGCAGCTGTTGTTGCTTCTCCCAGTATTTTTCCAATTCTATTGTATTATAATGCTGATGATATATGATTATAATGTTATATTTAAGTGAAATGCATTGAAAAATCAAAAATTTCATATTCAAAACATTTATTCTATTCCATTTGTTCTCTTGAAGACAATATGTTTAAATGTATCAAAATACAAGAGATTAACAATTAAATATCTAGCATATCTTTTATTTATTTACTTTTATCAGTTTAATATAATAAGATAGAAACTACACAAAGAATAAAGCTTGTTTGTGTAGTTTCGTTATATTTACAGGGTTCCTACTCAAATTTTTGTCTTAAATTCCATGACTTCCCCTAACCAACATTGTACAAATTCCCTGACCCTCACATCACCAACTTTTTAACTGGTTGTTTTTTCTAATTAACAGTTTATATATTGCTTTTTTTTATAATCAATGAATTAATGAAATTAAAAATAAAATAAGACAGAATTATGACATGACTTCTCTACATAAAACTAAAATGTTTTATTAAATAAAAATAATTTATCCTGTTAACTCATAACTGTAAAACTTCATGATTTTGAAAAAAAAAAAAGAAAATAGCCATTTATTATTATTAAAAAATTCTGTATAATCCATGCACAAAAGTATAAATTTATTAAATTTGGATCCCTTAATAAATTTTCCAAACTTTATAAAATATTAATAAACTGGGAAAAAAGTTTCAAAATCAGAAATTGTTTTGTTATGCAATCAAAATTATTAAGATGAAAAATGATAAATAATACCATTTGAATTAATATTAACAAAGAACAAAAATTGATAAATAACTTATTATTATTTTTTCATCAGTTCATTAACACCTGCCCTCAAATTGAAAGTGTAAATTGTGAGAGATAGATAGTTAAAATATTTCAAAATTTTTTTTTATCAACATTAGATTATTAAGTGTGTTAGATTTTTCTCTCAAACTTATAATACTAAATAATTAATACAGCAGTTTTAAAATCTAAAAGTATTTTAAAAATAACAATTGATTTTGTTGTATGCTTGTATATTTTGTGTCCTATAATTTTAGGAAAATATTGTGCAACTCCTTTTTGTAAATCGCATTGTACCACAATACTTCTTATTGCCTGCAGACAGCTACACTTGGTCAGCCATACTATCAGCAAACAAAATCAACAAGACAACCAAGTAAACAAATTTCCTGACTTTTCCTAACTTTTTCCAAACACTAATGAAAATCCCTGACTTTTCAGGTGTGTAGGAACCCTATACTTAACTAATCAATAAATCTAAAACACTAATAAAGTTTGTTAAAAATATTCTGAAAGAAAAAGTTTTTCAGAAACATGGAACAGAAATCACATTTATCCAAGGTCTCCATTAAACTTCCAATTGATTGACAGACAATAAAAATTAAAGTTAAAAATATGCACATAAACAAATTTTAAGAAAAGACAGAAATATACAGTAAAAACTATTTAAACCAAACTTAAAATAATTACACAGAATAGATTCTTAGTATTGACAAGATGATAAAGTCTAAACTTGATTCTATAAGACATATAAAGACATTAAAAACATGTATTAAAAAATTTGTTTCCCCATGTACAAAAAACAACCAAAAAACTTGGGATTAAATAAATCTGAGAGAAACAACTGCATTAAGTTGTATGAAAACCTGACAATATTATCATCCTAGTTTATGAGTCACAAATTTAAATTGTTTTGAGTTTTTTCTTTTCTAGTTCTTTCTTAATTAATTTTTTAAATTTATTTAATCATTAAAAAAATCATTAAATTTCTCAACATATAGTAATACGTCTATCTTTTATACTAAATTCACATAATTATCAATAAATTTTTTTAAATTAATTGATAATTTTATCAAATTATTCTGTAATCCAGTAATCTTACAATTCTGTTAATTATAGCTTATTTATATTCACATTTTAACATATAATCCTAAAAGTACTGTTAAATAATAAGTGATAATATTGAATTAATAAAATTAATAATAAAATCTTGTTAGTATCTATTTTGAACTGTATACCTTCTAATTAAAAATAGATCTTTCTATTTAATTTATAGAACAGTTGAACTAGGAACATTTTTAAAGAAATTAAAACTATTACATTCATTTCTTTTAATTACATAATATTGCCAAAAGATTTTTAAAAATTCAAACATTGATTTTGATTTATCATGAAATAAAATTAGGAGAGATACACTAATAAAACTTAATCAAACTCTTGGTTGTATAAAATTTATTTATCAATAAAATTAAAAACTATTAAAAAAAATAAAACATAAGCTTGAATTTTTGTTATACATATATATATTTTTTAAACACATACAACTAATAAACATTTAGTATTATATTTAACACAAGCAAATTACTGTTATAGTAAAGTTTTAAATCTTTTATATTAATATTTTAAAAAAAAATCAATAGTAAAATTATATTATATTCTATATTTAATCAATTTATTTAATATTTTTAAATAGTAGTAAAATTCAATCAGATTTGATCAATTAATAAAAATATGTAATTTGATGACATTCTCATATATCAATTGATTTATTATATATCAAGTTCATGTTTTATTCATATCATCCTATTATAAGAATAAAAAATACTTACCATAGTCGATAAAATTCGAGATGGTCTTTTCTTTCCGCAGTGAAGAGTTGACACATTCATCATACAGAACAACCAATGCATCCAATAATGTTTCGATACTAAAACTTTTTCCATTCAACATCAAAGGACCACCCAAAAGTAATTGTTCCAGACGTTTCATACGCTCTTCCAGCGTTAAGTCTGACATTATTTTAATTTATTATTATCTCAAGGCAATAATTATGAATTCCAAAGCACCATATTTGATAGATCTATGGAATTTGGCTTCTGGGAAACACATAAGCTTAATGATAATCGTATGGCAGGAAGGAACTCCTGAAATTTGTAGATATTATCCGTCTTCATTGTTGTTCATTTCATATAAATAAGGCAAACGTGGAATTCCTTAGACTATGATTGCGTTGTCTTTTGTTGCTACTAGTAAAAATGAACATACTTCCAATTAAATATAAATAAACAGTAACCTCAATCTCATATATTTGACCTGTAAAAGTTGACAGATAGGCTTAATGATATTATTTTGGCAAATTATAATAAAGTCACCTGCTTAAACGTTGTTATAATTCTTCGACGATCTTATTTATCTGTCTATGGGCGGAATTTGGTAGAGAATATTGTGAGATTTTTCTTACGGATTCATTTGCATCAGTCAAAAGCCAATCACCTCCACTCACCGATCATGGCGGACATCAGATACGGATAGTTACTGGTACTTACACTAGAGGCGCTATCATAAAGATATTACGAGTGGAATTTGTAAATTGTTTGGATTGGATTCGTTACGCAAAGGATCAGAGTACAATTATTTATAAAGCTTATTTCTATTTTATCTATTAAAGGAAGATGTACCTCACGATTGTTTACTTTAATGCGGCTGATGAATAGAGAGTAAAACAGTTACTTTTTAACAAATTAATAGGTTCTGGATAGAGTTTGAACCGAAATGCCCCGAAACAGTAAAGAATCTTCGCGACAATCTGGAAGAGAAATTTAGTAAATTGATTGTGATTTGTTGATGCTAGGAATCAACGTTGGACTAAACATACGGCTAGTAGATACGGGGAAACATTATAATCCTAAACTTCCGTAACATACATGAAAGTCCAAAATGGATTCTAATCCAGATTCTTTATTTCGAAAAAAGTTCATTTTCTTAGATTTCATTTCAGTAAATCTCAATTATCTCATTGATATATCAGACATACATTATCTATACTAATATTATAAAGAGGTAATGTATGTATGTATGTATGTATGTTAGTTTGTATGCAGCAGGTAATCTCCGAAACTACTCATCCGATTTCAAAAATTCTTTCACCAATATTTAGAATGGAACTTCAGGGTGGACATAGGCTGTATATTATTCCGTTAAACATGNCTACTCATCCGATTTCAAAAATTCTTTCACCAATATTTAGAATGGAACTTCAGGGTGGACATAGGCTGTATATTATTCCGTTAAACATGGGGGATGGACAGTTCTTTACGGTAAGCCTTACGGGGAAGGTTACCGTAAAGAACTCTGCTTCTATTTATACTATTTTAGATGCGGTTTTTTCCGTTTTTGATTGCGTTTTAATAGAGTACTGTACGTCAACAGAATGTACACTAAGAAGGGATTTTTCGATATTCCTCCCGCGGGGGAGAGGGACAGGATTAAGGCTTACTGTGAAAAAACTTGGCTTCTATTATACTATTTTAGATGCAGGTTTTTGCGTTTTTGATTGCGTTTGAATAGGGTACGTCAACAGAATGTACACTAAGAAAAAATTTTTCGAAAAATTTTCCCCCACGGGGGGAGTGTTATACATTTATAATAGATACATTTTGAGCCACAACAAGGCGTGGCGGGGTCTGCTAGTATCGAAATATGTTTTTTGTGTGTAAATTATTTTATCGGTAATTTTCAATCTAACTTACAACAATGAAAATAACTACAGTATATATTGCCTATTTCTATATTAATATTATAAAGAGGTAATGTTTGTAAGTATGTATGTATGTATGTAAGTTTGTTTGCATCAGGTAATCTCCGAAACTATTCATCCGATTTCAAAAATTCTTTCACCAATATTTAGAATGGAACCTCAGGGTGGACATAGGCTGTATATTATTCCGATAAACATTTGCGGCGACAAATCACGGACTGGTGAGATGGCGCCACTCCTCTACAAGTTTTCCGTGAATCCCGGATGGAAAAACGGGGACAGGGTTTTTCCCAGAGTGGGTTCTGGGTATTGTTGCTTCTTCTTCTTGTCGGGTGATCGCTGCTATGAGCATGTGTAGCTCTCTTTCAAGTGTACTCGAGGATTGTTGTAAATAAATGTTGTTTTAGTTTAAAACGTGGTCGTGGACTTAACTAATTCACGTTTACAGCCTTCTGATATAGTCTTTGTGGAGATGTAAATGGATGGAGAAAGACCGCCAGGTTTCATCTAACTGACGGCGGCCATCCATTACCTCCACATTCATATAAATTAAAATATATAATCTAGGTTAAGGCTTTTATGTCAACAGATGGCGCTATGAGTACGACGCCCTAAGTTTGCTTTTCTGTCAGGCATTACACTTTTCTGTGAAAATGAACTAAAGCAGATCATCTTCTATCTATCTATATAACTAAAAATGTAATGTTCGTTTGTTCCTACCGATTCCTTTGAAATTTTGACACAATGCTGCATTCGAATGCGCACGTGTTTTTATATAATATACGTGTCGAAATTTCCCGCACTGGGGGGAGATGAACAGGATTAAGGCTTGCAGTAAAGAACTCTGTTTCTATTTATACTATTTTAGATGCTGTTTTTTGCGTTTTTGATTGATTTTTAATAGGGTACGTCAACAGAATGTATACTAAGAAGAAATTTTTTGAAAAATTTCCCCCCACTGGGGAAGTGTTATACATTTATAATAGATACATTTTGAGCCACAATAACGCGTGGCGGGGTCTGCTAGTTTATCATAAAAGAATCCTACGCAGAGTGATTTTATAATAAACGATTAATTCAATGATTTCTCTGATTAAAAAGAATAGTTATTACTAAACATAATTAATAAACATAGGTCTTTATTATAAAAATTATAATTGACATAGATCTATATTAATCAAAATACTTGATATCCGTAAATATTGTTTAATTTATACAAACACTAATATGAGTAAAAGAATTATGAATTTTTATTACAATTATTGAAGATCAAATGGGGCATCACTTCAGGGTTTTCTTTTTTTACTCTTTCGCCTTGTGGACACTAAGAGGGCCTCTTTTAGCAAGCCCATTATGGGTTCGGCCAGGCCCAAAATGGGGCGGCCGAGTGGTGAGAGACGGGGGCCGACTAATCCGGTCGGACCACCGCCGAAAAATTCCTGGGGATTTTTTCGACCCGTCCGGATTCGATCACTTCAGGGTTGTTCTAATATATTTGTGTCTTGTGTTTAACAATATCATGAACTCTTTTTTAAAATAAAAAATCATTTTTATTTTTACATCAGAATACTGGTACAATTTTGTCGTAAAAAAAAGAAATACAGTGGAACCTCGGTATACGACCTTAATCCGTTCCTGGTGTTTGGACTTATACCGAATAGGACGTATACCAAACCAACCTTTTCCATAAGAAGTAATGTAAAAATGACTAATCCGTTCTCGTAAAAAAATGACTGGCTTTAAACAGCTCGCTTTCCTCGCTAGTTTCTGCTTGATTTTTCATGAGATCAGCGTGTATCTTTTTAACTTTCTCGCAAATAATTTCTTCCGATACGCTGTCACCGGCACACTGTTTTTCAGTTATCCAAAGCAAAAGCAATTTCTCGACACGATCTAATGTCTTCGATCTCTGTTTAGATTTTGATTTAACCCCTTTCGCAACGTTAGCAAATTTAATAATGTCTTTATTTTTCACGATTGTCGATATCGTCGTTCTCGGAATACGGAATGCAACAGTTAAATCTCGTTAAATCTCGAACACTCGTGCCACCTTCATATTTCTCAACAATCTCTTTTTTCAGTTCCGTTGTGATTCTAGTCATTTTTTTCTGTTGCCCTTTTGCAATTCGTGATTAATAAAAATAATAAAATGTTACTTACAAATTAAAATCAGAAGAAATTTAAGAAAGTTATAAACCGTAGCACCGCGAACGTCTAGTCTAGTGTAGTACACCGATAGTGCTACTTGTTCATTGATGGCGCGTATAATTGAATTAAGTCGTATACCGAACAAAAGTCGTATACCGAGAAAAATTTGTTTCGTCGAAACAGGACGTATTCCGAATTGGACGTATTCTAAAGCAGACGTATACCCCGCGTTTCTTTATGCAGCGCTCGAGAAGCGCTTTACAGCGAACACACTGAAACTGGTTTCTAATTGGCCAACACTGCTCGTGACGTCATTTCGCTACACTCTTGCTGCATAAAGAAACGCGGGGATACCGAGGTTCCACTGTAAATTAATAACTAAATAAAAAACGAAAGACTCATGTGAGGTAGCGGCTGCTGGAGCCTAAAGGCTGCAGCCCTATTAGCATAATGGTTAAGGTGGAATTGCTACTTCTCACTACAAAATAGAAACATCTTGTTTACAAATTATACAAAAACCGCTACAGAAAAGCAATATCGAGTACTTGCCTGAAGTTTTTAAGGGAAATTTGTGATGGCTACCCTATTGTAAGCCGAGCCAAAACTACGACGAGCTTGAAAAAAGACCTCATTAGTGCCCACAGAGCGGAAAGAATAGAAAAAAAATCTAATAAAGCTAATTCATTCAGTTCATGACACTCAGTTTTCTTCCTGTCAGGAACTTTACGTTTGTGGAAGAAACAATGCAAAAAATTTGTTCCGGTGACATCCAATAGAAAACATTTGAGTCATTTTAAAACGGTGAGTGTATTCTTCAGAAGAATTACCAAAAACATTTAAGAATCGGACTCAACTGTAAATCAGAAAAATAAAATTCAATCTTGTCAAGTCTATGTTTGACCACTCTCTGAAGTAGATAATGCAAATCCATATATTGCAATGCACTAGCACAACGGTTCCCAACGTTTTTTCAGTAGCATTCCCGTGGCATTTCCAACTTTCCAACGAGCAACGCATGGGCAAATCTCGCACTTCCTGTTTGTAGAGAGTGTCGCCAATTTGAATTTTATTTTGACTCGGTTCTCGGTCCCCTGAGTACCTACAAGTCTGGTTGTTTTATGCGCGCATGATTTGGGCACCTAATACTTTGTGCCAATTGCAACTTCTGACATGTACTCTTTCATACCTCTAAGATCGTAACACAGCAGGCAGTACGATTTTAAAAACAAGACATAGTCTTGTCAATAAAAAATTAATAAAAATACTGAATACCGCTTGTAGAGAAAATCTGGAGAAACTAGCTATGTCCTTTTGTTTGCTAACAATAAAAAATACTATTTTCAAACAATACGTGGGGATATTGTTGAGAGATAATAATAATAACGGTAACACACCCCACTATCAAAAGTCCGTAGCATAATCACTAATCACGCATAATGGTATCCCCACTACTATTGACCGACTGAGTAATATTTATTGATCTGTTGCATTGTATAATCGGCAGCATAAGTTTTTATTTCTATTTTTGCATTTTTAAATGTAAAATAAAGTTTGTGATTGTTGCAAGGAACATTTTTTACCTAATATTTTCTTAATACTATTAATTTGTGATACATTATATATTACAAATATAATCAAACACCAAAA